ATATAAAATTATATATAATTATATATAAATTATATAATTATAAAAAATTGACATATTTTTTTATATAATTATATAATATAAAATATGTCTATATAGTATATAACATTTGTTCCCGGGTTGAGAATCAAACCTGAGAAGCTCTTTGCGGTTATAAGAAAATTTAGTCTGCTCTGACATGATGATGTAATAATAGCAAATGAAATTCTCTTGGTTTAGGAATTTGCACCACTCAGGATGTTGACTTGGTCTTGAAGCACATGAATAACGCGCGATATTTACGCGAGTTGGATTTTGCGCGTTTTTATTTCTATGACAGATCAGGAATTTACAGCGCTATCTCAAAAAGAGGCGGCGGTGCTGTTCAAGGTGCATCTACTATACGATATCGCCGTGCGATTCCTATCTTTACACCGTTCAAGGTCACGACGAAGGTACGATCAATACGTTTTGCTTCTTTTTTTTCTTTTTCATTTTTATGCGCGATAATCAAGTCAATCCAATTTGCATTGTTGCAGCTCATTTACTGGGAAGATAAACACTTTTATATAGAAAACCAGTTTATCAGTCTCACGGACAATTTTATTCGCGCCGTTGTATTAAGTAGACAAACTGTAACTGGATTAAAGGTTCCGGTAGAGGAAATAATTGCCGAGATTGATCCGGAAATACGTAGGCCGGAGCCTACCAAAGAACTTCAATTGTGGCTGGAATCTATGGAAGAATCGTCTCAAAGTCTGAAGAAACAGAAATAAGAAAATGTTTCTTTTTATGCATTTATGTTCGACAAATTATATTTATTTAATTTTTTGTTAGCTCGGTTTTTATTTTATGGTTGATTTTTTGTTTTGCTATTATTGATTTTTTGTTAGCTCGGTTTTTATTTTATGGTTAATTTTTTGTTTTGCTATTATTGATTTTTTGTTATGCTATTATAACACATAATTTTATATAGTCTTACATGAGTGTATTTAATTGTTTTATCGTTAGTTTTATATCTTTTTGTGATATAATATTGTTTTTAAAGTTTTTTAGTCGCGCGCGCGCGGAACACTTTTTAAATTAGAAATTATATCATATTACACATCTTGGCATTAATTGTAGTACAGTGTCGAGAACTTAATTTAGGTTTATATATTATTAAAAGATGTTCCTTTTATTACTTTACAATTAGTAAAATCAAATTTTTAAACGTTACTAAAAATATTATTTTTTATCATTGCGATATTTATAATCTTACAAATACAACAATTTGCGTAACTAGGGTATTTCATGATTAATGTAGAAATGTCCCAAGTTACACATGAAGCTTTAAAACGTCTGCAATAACGTTGTTTCAGCTTAAACCGCAACATTTTTATCTATGACAGTTATTGCCATAACGTCATTATGATATTGTGACAAAGTTGTAACAGCAAAAATGGGGTAACAATTTTAGGCTTTGAAGACGATATCGCAGCCATTCAATTGCACAACTATTTTACTGTAAAGAGGTTGTCGTAGTCATATGTTACAACAGTGATAATCTGAATAAACAAATTAATAAACAAAATGTTTTTATACGTAAATTAATATTTAATACAAGTTTAATTTTTAATTTAAAAATTACGTAAAAATATGTAAACATACAGTAAAATATTACGTAAAAATGTTTAAAAATACAGTAAAGAAATAATCTTTTTTTCAACTGGAATTAAATTTGTAACAACCCAGAATCTTTGTCTTACTAAAATTAGACAAATTTAAAGATTAAATTAATTATTGCAACTTATTACTATTTATAACGTACATATCTATATATATGTACGTTATAAATAGTAATACGATATGTATGATTAATTATATGTAGCTTATAAATTGTATAATTATAATTATACAATTTATAACGTACATATAATTATACATATAATTATACTAATGTGGATGCAAATTCATAAGTATTCTGATTACAGAACTACACAGATCTTTAAGTAATAATTTTAGAGCCGCTTAAATGAACGCATGAGTCCGCTTGACCATTGCTGATACATTCCAAATTTAATTATATCCAAAATGATAGTTTGTGTTACTTTGCCTTTACTGTGACATACAAATTACAGCTAGATTACAGCTATTTTGACTATAAAGTTATCATATACATATGTGCTTTTACAGGCAAAATAGATGTGACTTTTTTATGAGCTATTACAGCAACTACAGCTACCAATATAACTGAAACAGCAGTGGCTTCATTTGAACTTTTTTATTAGCTGTCATATTAATAAACTTGTATAGCTAAAATAGCTGTAGCTGCTAAAATGATTGTAATTACACGCAAAAAAAGGACTTAGTAATATTAGTTAAATATCAGTTGCTGGTTCAAACTTTGCTGTTATTGATAAAAGTTGGATATTGAAAAAACACATTTGCTATCGACATTCAACTTTATTAGTTAAAATTAAAAGCATGCTTAACATGAGTAGCTAAGTAAGTGGCAGCTATTCGTCACTCTCTTAGCTGCGTAACCGATCATTCCATTCGCGATTGTTTCCGAGACGCTGCCGGTTGCCATTTTACTCTAGCAAAGAATATTTTTTACCTAAATTTTAGCACCTAAATTTTAGCAGTTAATAAATTGAGCTTTGGCAGTAATTGTTCCTATTATAAGGACACGTTTTAACTGCCACTGCTCTATTTTAGCTGCGTTGACTAATTTTTTTCTCTGCGTGTAAGGTTAACAGAATGTTATATTAGTCACATTTTTGCTGTTGCAGCGAATATATTATAGATTCTGTTACTTGGGATTTGTCTCGCGCCTAAACAATAAAGTTTCTAACTTTGTTATACTGCTGATAAAACGTTTATAATATTCTAACATTTGGCCATTAAATTGTTATCTAAATAATGATCTCTAATCGTATTTATTATTCAAAATGACTTCGTCAACAAACCATTTCAATTTTACACATTCATTATAAAACATCTTGCCTATTTCCTTTATTGATTTTTGTAATTAATATTACGGATCTTATGGATAATTCGTCTTGCCACCTGTATCACAACCGTTAGATGGCGATCCTGGTACCAGCTCAAAGGAACGGAGAACGGATGTTGCTGCGGACTGGTACCGCGCAGTCGATCCGCGAACTCGAAAGCTGCCGCGAAGCTACGCGAATCGACCTTTGACAACGCTTTCCATGAACTTTTGTGAGCCACTCGGTGGCGAAGAGTTCGCGACGGCTCTCTACAGAGAACAATACGAATGAGCATCTTTATTCTACCCGTGAGTGACCAGTGTATTACGTTCTGAAAACTTGCATGTTTGATGGAACATCTGCTTTTCTCACATCGTTTTAAATTTCTGTTTGTTAAATGCCATATTTTCATAAACTTTATGTTTTCAGAAGACTTTTATCATTTAAGATTTTCTCATATACTATTACAAATTCCGTTTAAATAAATACGAATAATTAAAAAATGATTCTGCGGTGACGTCCGAGGATTAAAAAATTAGAAGAAATAGTGAATAAAAGTTGGCAGTAAATGTGCTCAAGGAGAAGAGATACTTTAAGCTCTAAAGATTTCAAGTCATAACAATTTACGGGATTTTCATTATTGAAATAATAATACGTTATTATACTTTGTATATAAAAAGAATGAATTTGCTAAAAAGTTTAAAAATTTAGCTAATTGCATTTTAAAATAATTTTGTTAGAAAAAATAACTATATACTAATATAAGGCATTCAAGCTGCCTCTTAAAATGTCAAAACTTTTAACAGTATTACTCGTCATATTTGAGCGTTCTACAGATTTTAGTATATTTGATAGTTTAATAAAATTCTTTTTTTTTTTTTAATCTATATCTAGTTAAATTTTTTAATTATTTAGCAAAATCATTCTTTTTATGTAATGTATTCCGTCGTGACAGCGACATGAGTAAACCAGATTTTTAAAATAAAATTTTAATATAAAATTCGCTTAATAAAGCGAATGTAATTTACTTGCTTCTTGACCGGCAAAATAAAGTTACGAAATGCTTCGCGGATTCAGCATATAAAACTCACGTATTTATGCTTACAAACACAACCTGGATACGGTTGGCGTTGCGTTCGCGAACGAGTTGACGATAACTGTGCGGTGCGTAAATGCACACACGGATAAAATTATGCGATTACATCACGAGAAATGTTGCATGCATAGATTAGATAATGTTCAGACATTCTATTACTACTATTATCGACAATAACGATTTTTTACATTCAATGAAAATAGAGTCACGAATACGCAACTTTTTCTCTATATCTCATTCTTTACTCTCTGTCATAGTAAATGAATATCTGAAACCAACAGATGTTTAGCAGATTGTACTATGAATTCTTTGATCTAATTAGGACTACTTTTTTTTTTGTTAAAGTATCGAAGCGTTTTTCATCTCTAATTAACAATTAAATAAAAAGAACTTGAAAAATAAGATTTTAGAGAGAAAATAGACAAAAAATTTTATTTTTGAAATTAATTTGAAAAATTTGTTTTTTTATTTTTAGTTTTATTTTCAATTTTAATATAATTATAAATACAATAATGAAAAATATATAGATACAATAATAAAATTCGAAAAACTTGAAGAACGGTTTTTGTAATTTTTGCGAAAAAATTTTTTTGGGTTATAAAAGAAGTTTTGGAAATTTTATTGGGCAAGTCCGAGAAGGGGTTAGCGATTCTAAACAGATATTTTCTAATATATTTTTTTAAATCTGTAATATATATTATAATATACAAAGCATATGATTGTGCATGAATTAGAATTATTTTGAAATATTACTATTGAAGGTCACATTTGAATGAATCTCCTCTCCGTTGCTTTATCGTGTTAGAAGATGATCACGTTAGTAGTCAGATTAATATTGTCATGTGTATCTCATGGCCTTATCAGTCTCGACAAGATGATTTAGACCTCGACGAAAAGAATTAATATGTTTTCAGCGAATTGTCTCGAACTGACGACCGTGACCATTATGCGAGTTTACTGACGTACGTGACTCTTTATGACATTTTATGCAAAAATTACTTAAATTAGACAATTTATCTACGACAATAATTGAATGCGATACTTCATAGTGATTACAAGAACGGGATTTATTTCCTTCATTCGACAATGGAGAGAAAGTTTTATTGTCTTACAATTTTCTCATGTATCTAAAAAATCGGGACGTCGCTTTCTTTTACCAGTTTTCCATTTTAAATCGCAAACACTTTTCCGGTCGTGTTTAAGCCAGAAAATGTAGATTATGCCAGAAATATGCTGATAACAGACGCGGTTATCCAGAGTGCCAGGAAATCGATCGTGCGAACAGGTCGCTCGTCGATTTCTCTTCCCATGCGCCAACATTTAATAGAACAATGAATAGGTGCTTTCCTTGGCGAATATATTATTTCTTCTCGGTTTATTGCTTTTCCTCATAAATTGGTGAGAAATTCTGTGCATTCCAATCTTGAGTACTAAAATTGCTCTAACAATTTTATAATCATTCGCTCGCTTTCTATTAAGTTTATCATAACACGTTGAAAATTGTTAATCGTCGTGAAATAAAAATTGGATTTTTGAATAAATGTTTGAAATTATAAATTTGAGCACGTAAGATTGCGACTTCTATTTATAATATTTGAAAACGTCTTATTCCGATCCTTAAGTCCTTATAGGTATAAACCCATCTGCAATATGATTATTTTCAATATTATAATAACTTTCAATAAAAATTTAAATAACATTATATAATGATCTTTTAACATTTTATTTTTCCTAAATGTAAAATTTATGTATTAATATGAATGTTATTTGTAATGCACTAAATTATTATTATTATAAATATGTAGAATTTGAGTAAAATTTTGTATTGTATCTTTTGATAATAATTTATTAATTTTTAGTGAAAAATATATGTAATTGTAGTTTCTAAAGTGCATATACTTGTACTTTCTATAATATTTTTTTATTTAGGAGAATATTATTTTTAAAAAAGGACAACATGCAAACGCTCGAAGCACGACGCAAGAATTTCAATGACGGATTTGCGGTCAAAATAAGGCTTTCCTAATACCGTGTTTAAAAAGCTGATCACGTATGTGTGAGAAGGGTCGAGAAGAATTAAACTGACTGAATTCGTATTTGTACGCGGCTTTGACAAAGATACAGACAAAGGATATGCATGCCTCGACATATCATCTTACGATTAGCGATTATTTATCATATATAATACTTTGCAGTAATCTTTATGTAATCGTGATTCTTTTATTCGTCGATTGCAGCAGGAAATTAAAGATCGTCGTAATAAGTACCATAGTGGTATGATACTATATAGCTCACTTCATTGCGAGAACTCTCTTCAACGAGCTCGTTACGCCCGATATTCTTCCCGCTCTAATATGACATAATTATAGCTTTTGCAAATCACATTCTCAACATGTAACCATTCTAACTTGTGCAACTATTTTGCACAAAGTAACTAATGAATCCTGTAAATCCTAATAACGTATATTATGTGTTATAATTAATATAAAGTTAAAATAATAATATAAAGGTAAAATGAAATAGTCTGAAAGTTTTGGCTGTTTTATCAATTTATATATATTTTATACAATTTATATATATTTTGCTGAAGTATTAAAAAATTTAGCTAAATAAAAATATCTGAAAATAATTTTGTTGAACTATCAAAATAATTGTACGTTTAAGTATGATAAACAATATTGCAAAAAATTTTGACATTCTAGCAACTAGACCGTCTTAAGCAATTATATATATTGATGGTCTAACAAAATTATTTTCGCATCTGTGTGTGTCTAACTGAATCATTTGTTACTGCGATAGTTTAGTAGAGTTTGCATTTCAAGACCGAAAAATCATTTCGGCGCGCATTTTAAAGAAGAGACTACATACGTAACAGTATATGAATTCACAAAGAATCATATAAGCACTTAAGATCCAGCTAGACCGTTTAAGGCATTGATTTCTATAGGTTGTGTTCTCACATATACGGCTCTATAAGATATCATATTGTTCAAATCATTTTTTTAGTATCTAGCTCTGATATTAATACTCAAATTTTTGA